AGCACTACAGACAATGTACAGGCAGTCCTCGACTTAAAACGTTTCGAGTTACAACATTTTGCACTTACAATGTTTATAAATTGACACCCGGTTTCAACTTTATAATGTCAGTTTCAACTTACAACACTTGATCTGATTCAAAGCTACGCCAGTGAACAAGTTTGCTGTGTCACTCATCTCCCTGGAGAACATCTGTCCAAACTTCCTTGGACACTTTCTTTAAGAAAGCAGACACGACTGCAGAAAAACCTGCAGCCGAGACTCCTGAGAAGACTCCAGCCAAGAACCCTTCAAAAAGTCCAGCAGTCACCTCAAAGAAGTCCTTCCAAATCAATATGATGGCTATTTACAATATAAATACATTAATGTAGCTATATTAGTCATCTATAATTGATAGAGTACAAAATTCTGGGGTATTTTTGGTGAAAATAGGGTATCGGGCCTTGGTTCAGGAACCAATCCCCCATTTATAACATAGTATCTTATGAGAAAATTCATTCTGAGTTACAAGGTTTTGAATTAAGATGTGGTTTTCAGGAACCAGTTGTGTCGTAAGTCTGAGGACTGCCCGTATTTAAGAGACAGACACAAGTTCTGTGTTGCAATGAAAACTGTATTTTTATTCAAAGAAACACTCAGCAGCAGGTACTGGGAACATATCCATCAGACTAGAGAAAACCAGTTCCATCGGCAGCAGACGTAGCATGTGCGGCCAGGCAACCCCACAGAATGGCTGCCCAACTACTGTCTCCATGCTGATGGTGTGGGGTGCCATGTGCTGCCCGCCCACATCTCTTGTCTACCTGCAACCTCCCGTGATTCCTCAGCCCAAGAATCACTAAAAATCTCTCCCCTGATTTGACAAATATTGCGGAGTAGGGCTGTGCAAAACAGCACCATTCTGCTTTGACTTCTGTTTCGGCGTTTCAATGGAACAGTGTTTCATTTTGAGTTTCATTTAATTTCAAAAGCACTGTTCCCTTCATTTAGTCAAAACTGTTTCGCTGTTTTGACACCGTTTCAACGCTGTTTTGATGTTTCACCCATAGGCTATAATGGGGAAGCATGAAACTACCTATAACTTTATAATTTCTAGCCTGATTCAGATGAAACTTGCAGGGATGGTGTCCCTTTCTGAGGGCATGAAGCCTGCCAAGTTTCAAGGAGATAGGTGTAGAGGTTTCTGGGAAACTGCACCTCAGGGTGTTAACAAGCAAAACTCCTGTCACTTACTAGCAGTGGCAGCCTCCTGTCATCTGGCCCACAGATCTGGGAGCCTGCACCCCTGGGAGGGATGCGGGGCTCTGCCA